AATTTAAAAATTACATTTACTTACTTACTGTGTGTGTCTGTGAGAGGATTTATATGCCAGGGTGCACAGGTAGAAGTCAGAGGACAATTTGTAGGAATCCATTGAATCCATTCTCTCCTTCCATTGTGTGAGTTCTAGGGATTAAACACAAGTCATCAAGTCTTTGTTTGTTTGTTTGTTTGTTTGTTTGGGACAAGGCCTCTCTATGTAACCCTGCTTGTCCTGGAACTCACTCTATAGATCAGGCTGGCCTCGAACACAGAGATCCATTAGCCTCTGCCTCCTGAGTGCTGGGATTAAAGGTATGCATCACCATGCCCTCTTAAGTCATCAAATCTTCATTCACTGAGCTACCTCTCTGGCCTGACTTTGATAATTTTGGGGAGTATAAGTCAGGTGTTTTCTGGGTAATTCATTATTTGGGCTTTATATAGTGTTTTTCATGCTTGAAAGGGGGTTATAGGATTTTGAGAGGCAGACCAGGGTGGTGAAAGTGCCATTACAAGAGGTAACTGGAAAACTTGAGGTAGATGGTACTGAGGCTAAGGAACAAATATTAGGAGGGGTTTGAGGTCCAGTACAAGACTCCTTCTAATACCACGGAAACACTTACTCTATGGGAGGAGCATCCTAGGTGGTGTGGGGGAGGGCTGGGCTCTGAGCTCTGCCAACCAAGGGAAGAAAGAGTGGAAGAGTTAAGCCCGGGCTTCTGAAGTGTCTGTTCTTGGAGCAGGCAGTGTTGAGCCCTTGTTGGCATCAGCTCTGGGTATAGAGTTGAGTTTTCCACTTCTCTGGTTCCCAAGTCTTATCGGCTTCCTCGGGGGTTTACATTCTAGGAACCAAGCTCACCAACTGAGTACAGAGAACACAACCGTTAAGCAGGAACATGCAGTTCTAAAATAGCAAGAACAAACCAAGGTGTCATTCTGTCTTCACAGGTGATCAGAATGTCCACAGGCATCATTGTCTCCAATCCGCAGATGCATGAAAGGGACGTGGGAAAATGGGACACAACTGGCAAGTGACAGAGTAGGACCTGGACTCAAGGCTGGTGTAGATCAAGCCCAGTGTTCTCGCCACCACTAGAGAGACAGCTAAGTCTGTCATGTACATCTAAGAACATATTCTAGGGAGTAGCTACTTGGCCAGTGTTCTCAACCTCAGGTATGAGGCCTGGAGCCTGTCCTCTGCCCTTCCTGCCATAAATGTACACAGAAAATCCAGTTAGTCACTGAGAATGATCCTAAGTCTTTTTCAGACATACAGATGAGAGAGTTCTTATTACTGTATTTTTCTTTGCCACAAGCTTTAAGAAACTTACATCTTGGCCAGGCAGTGGTGGTGCATGCCTTTAATCCCAGCATACGGGAAGCAGAGGCAGGTAGATCTCTGAGTTTGAGGCCAGCCTGGTCTATAGAGCAAGTTCCAGGACAGCCAGGGCTACACAGAGAAACCTTGTCATGAAAAACAAACAACAACAAGAACAACAACAAACAAACAAAAAACCCCAAAATAAAAAAAAAATAAACTTCAATCTCTTCATTTCTGAATACATCTGCCTCAGGAAATAAAGGTTAATGGAATACATACAATACAGAAAATATTTGTGTGTGGTGGGGAGAACATTTACATCAGCATTGCTCACAGCAGGGCAGACTGGAAACAGGATAGCCACTCAGTAGTGGGAGACTGCGTAAGAGAGCCGGGGCCACACTTTCACTGGATGGAGCAGCACTGTACAGTAGCTCAGAATAACTTTGGGAAATACCCAAGCAGAGCAATATGGAAGATTTTCTCTCTCTTGTATCTGGGTACGAAAGGGTTTCCACTCACTTTTTTTTTCTAAATTAAATGAAAACTGATGTTGTATACCATATGCCCACTGATGAGCAGTCTGTTGTTTCCACTGGAGTCTCACAATGATCTGAAGGCCTTTAAGACTTCCCAGAACAGGACCAGGCTTGGATGCACACTGTTTTCACTGGCGTTTTATTGGGCAACTAATGCAGGTGCAGTCTATGTTATCTGCCCCAGGGAGACCACAGGCACACCTTTCCAGTGTCCTTCCCTTTGACACTAGAGGTAGATGCAGAGCCTTTGCCTGTCCTCCAGGTCTGAGGTGCCTCTCCTCTGGATTATGGTCTCAGACATATCTCCGCACATCCCTTTCTCATCTGTGAAATGAACCTTAACAAGACCTAGTTTGTAAGAGTACTGTGAGGACCAAATGTGATGAAGGCCTTCGGAACTGGACCCCAGCTTGGCATGGTGCCAGAGCCTGTCCTTTCTGTACCAGAGAGGGGGACAGAGCCAGAAGCTGGTGTTTTTCAAGCTGCAATGGTGCTTTGAAAACAATTCTAGATTTAAAACTTCTGTACCTCAAATAAGCTGGTGAGAAAGTGAAAGTCCGACCCTGGGTCCTGGAGAAAACGTTCATAGTACGTGCATGTGACAGTGGCTGCTTGTGTCTGACAAAGTGTGTACTCACAGTAACAATATATGAAGAACGCCTACAAGTCAATCATGTGAAGACAAGACACAGACAGACAGACAGACACGCACACA